CCGGAAGCTTTACTCGCAGAAGCTGTTTGACAAGATTCATCTCCACACGCAGGTGCCTCAGTATCTAGGTGAAGGCCGAACAACACTCATCGACAAGGTGAGTGCACATGTGCATTCCACACTGCTGGAAACGGGCTCTGTTCCTGCCCTTACTGAAGCTCTAGAGAATGTGGTTGTGTGGGTCAGTGACATGGGAGTGGAGGCTGGAATTCCAAACTCCGTGGTTGAAACGCCTGAGTCAGTCTTACCAAGCTTTTTGCGGCCCAGCAGACTTCAGGTGTCTTCAGAAGATGGGGATTTCTGTGAGGAGGAGCCAGGTTTGGGGTTGTGCGCTGCAAAGCCTGAAGCTCTCATGCCAAAAGCTCTCCACTTACCTGGCTTTTGCCACGCTGTTCACAATTGTACGCAAAACTTGAACTCAGCGCTTGCCAAGTTTGACCGCTTCTTGGAGCAACTTCGTGTTGTGCATAAGTTTCTGTCTTCCCCAATGAGGCGTAGCAGATTTGTGGAGGTGGTCTTGCAGGGGACACCCGTGTACGCAGTCGGCAAGGAATTATTCCACAGGTTTTCGCATACACTCTATGAAGAGCGTTGGGGAGAAATCGCCACATACTTGAAAAAGGCTCGCCCTCTATATGTTTTTTTGAAATTGTACTGGGATGAGGTGGCTTTTGTGCGGCGTGATGCCAACGCTGTTGCTCAGGCTGAGCAGGAGTCTGCTGAGCAGTTTTCCCCACAAAGCTTAACAGCAGTCTTGACTGACCACTTCTTTGATGCTTATTGGACCTTGCAGATGCACTTGCGTTCCAGTGTTCAGCAGCTGCTCCGGTGGGCAGAGGGCTGCTCCTGCCACACATGTTTGGCTTCCAAAAGCACATCTCAGCAATCTCGCGAGAACAAGTTGCGTGAGGAGATAACCTGCCCGCGTGGGGTGCCATGTCTTTGCCCTGCAATGGGTTGCCAGGCGCCGTTTATTATGGATGGTCAGCTAGATGTTTGGAAAGAGCAGTTGGGCTCCGCAGGTTTCAACGACCTTGTCATGTCACGCAAATGTCCTGTGACAGCTCAACAATGGGGTGACTTGGAGAGCGAATGGCGGCGTGGTTGTGAATATGTCTATGAAAACTTGAAATTGCGCTTGGCTTTCTATTGGAAGCTGCCCTGGGCAATTTTGGGAGGTTGTCACCCAAATCTTCTGAAATCAAAAGATCTTTTGCGAAACGCTCTTGCTTTGTGGGACGACCTACCTCACGATGCCCAGCAGCTGCAACACACGCTTGCCTGTCAGCTGTTCCTGCCAGGTCCTTTGAGAAGGGAACTTGATTCCTATCTTACAGATGATGACGCATTTTTGGAAGATGTGCCTCTGCTAGCTGAATTTCTGGCCCCATTGACTTTTACCCAAGTGGCGGAACGCATCATAGAAGCTGCTCACAAGGAGATGGGGACTGTGAGCAAAGCCAAAAGTCCGGCTGCTTTGTCGGTAGCTCTTCGGTCCAGTGAGTTGAACAGGCGCCTGGCGTTGCAAGACAGTTTTTTTGGAGATTTGGTGGATGCTTTTGACAAAGCACGTCACATAAGGGATTTTGCCAAACAGTTCCCTGCGCATGCTTTGCATCCTGACGTGCAGCGCTTGGGGAAGGGGGTTCAGACGTCACAGTTTGTGACTGTGGTGAGGCGTGTTGTGTATCGTGACAGCAGGCATCAGCGTGCCGACCTAGGCTCTGCAGCGCGCGTTCTTGAGCGGGGAACTCAACAACACACGAAAGCCGTTGAGGCATTCAAGGAGAACAAGAAGAAAATCTCTGAGTCCAGAATCTTTGCCAAAGCTGCTACGTCTCTTGTGTTAAGTCAGGCTGAAGAGGAGTCTTCTTGCGTGCTTGCAATTGGTGATGATTTTTTTGATCCCTTGATGCTACGGCCATCGTCTATTCGCAAGCCCAGAGAAGCCCCTTGGCGCAAAGCAACTGGTTCAAGCAGGCGACATGCTTTTGCTCCTGCTAAGATCTTATATCGAAGAGCAACCGTTGGTTGCAATATTGCCGTCTGGAGCTGCGCGAAAATTGAACTTTGAGGAGCAGATTGAAACCTTGGGCCTCGAACGGTTCTTGCAAGATTTCAAGGTCTGGCAGAAATCTTCCCTTCGACGGTTCATGCTGCCACTCCCCCTTGAGTTCGATGTGGATGCTTCAGTGCTCTCTGACATCATATCCAAGATGTTGGATGGGGATTGCTTGCCAGGCAGGCCCGGTGTTTTTCGCAGCAGTCAGCCGGAGCATGATGCAGTTCTTGCATTTTGCAATGATGTTGGTTGGTTTCATGGAGTACTCTGGTACTGTTAGAGGATGGGGCCAGGGAGTTGCAGATGTGCAGCAGGTTGGAGTCTCCGCGTAGGTTTGGAGAGCCTCGTGCCGTGCCGCTTCAAGATTTCACATACCCGGAACTGTTATGCAAACTGAGAGCAGGCGGCTGGCAGTGGTCTGCGTTGCCTTCCCGCCGTCGCGAGGGAGAGATCTTAAAATACTCTTTGGGCGACGAAAAGGTGTGGTATGCTTCAAGCTTAACTGTTTCCACCAATTACTTGTTGTGCCTCTTGGATTTGGAGCGTCTGCAATCCGGTTTTGAGATTTCTTGGGTTCCGCACGGAGCGCCGCCAGTTGTGTATGAGAAAATGTTGCAAGGCCAGGCTCCTGGCGATGCCATAGCTGCTGCTCTCGAAGACCAGAAGAAATCCAAAACGTCACACTTGTCTTTGCTAGATGCCGATGTGGAAGGAGAATCTGAAGCAGTTCTGCCAGCTCCAAAGCGCCGCAGAGCCAATTCTGGTGCTGCTCGTCGCGCTGGTGGATCAGGCTCAGGCAACCATCCTCAGTTGGAGGATGCTGACAGGGCTGGGGTGTGTGACGCGGAAGCTGAGGATATTGGAGGGCCCGATGGCATGTCGATTGAGTCAGAAGAATTCTTGCAAGAGCTTGCAGAGCTTTTGCCAGAGGATGAAGCAGTCGCAGCCCCTAATGAGTCTGCAGTGGCAGGCGGCGCAATGCCCATGACGGGATCCCCGGCGCAAAGTTCAGCAGGTGAGGCAAATGGTCCTGTTCCGGAGGCCAGCCAACACAGGCACCTTGAAGCGACCTCTGATGATAGTGCCATACATGACGCCATGGCAGCTCTCTTCCGCTCCTCAGTTTGTACGTATGGGTCAGCCTTCAAGTTCAGTCGCAAGCTAGCCCACTCAGCCCCGCCATATGGCGGGCTGGAAGCCACATGCGGCTTTCACAGGAAGAACCACAGCACAGGTTGCAAAAGATTTGTTCGTCTAACTGGCAGCGATCCAAACTCCGTGAAGACATGCATCACTTCCCTTGCTCACTGGTGCAACAGTGCAACAAAATATGCACGTCAACGTGATCATCTTCGGATGTCTCTGAAGCAGGAGGACATTCCTCCGCCTGCCGTGGTGGAGAGGCAGAAGCTGACAGAGCGACCGCCAGCAATCGTGAAGAGCGATGTTGAACTGGATAGGGAGGCAGACGCGCTTGCGGCGCCTGCTTCCTCATCGCTTGGAGAGGCAAGGGCCAAAGGAAAAGCAAAAGCAAAGGCAAAAGCAAAGGCAAAAACAAAAGCAAAAGCAAAGGCTGCCTCTGCAGGCACTGTTTCAACCGCCTCTGCAAATCCAGCGTGTGCCGAAGCAAAGGCTTCAGCCGGGGAGGAAGCACTCGCGAGTGACACGAGTGCTGTTGGTGATGATGCTAGTGTGCAAGGCTCAGGCAGCGATAGCGAATGTAGCAGCGAGAGCTCCAGTTCTGCTGCTTCTCCGGGCAGCCCCTGCTCTGATTGAGGTGGGGCATGGCAGGGAACGGGGGTGTAGGAAGAGTACCAATTGCCATGTGTGCGACACAGTGACACACTGAGTAGCTGCCGTGGTGTAAAACTTCTGATACTTTACAGAACATGTTTTTCCTGTCTTTGCTGGGTACACGTTTGCAGCAGTTAGCACCTGTGAAGTGCCTGTCTTGCCGCAGGCCCTGGATGTTCCTTCGAGTCCGGACTTGCGCAGCCAGGGCCCAGGAAACTTCAACTTACTGGAAGGGAACGCTCTGTTGCGCCAGCTGCAGGTTTTCCATGCTTCTTGCTGAAGCGCGCAGGCTTCGAGGGCCGTTTTTGTTGCCTAAGGCTGTTGCAGTTTTGCCACTGGGAATGCTTGCCAGGACAGACCTTGCGAGCATTCCGATCTTCTTACCTCGTGACATGCTTACACGCTTACAGAAGCATGCAGCATTGTCTTTTAGCGTTGCTGGGCTTCAGGTTCACCGCGCACGTCTCGAAGATTTTCGTTGTCTCAACGAAGCAGCAAGGGCCTTAATTACTCTGTGTTGTTTTCGCTGCAAAGAAGTAAGGCTGCAGTTTTCCAAGGGAGGTTTGAAACTTGGTGACAGTGTCTGTCTGAGGTCAGCTTTGTTTCTGGATCCGTGGAAAAGCCAGCTGTGTGTTTCGGAAACGCCCTGAACCGTTGCTTTGAGTGGTGCAGTTGCTATCATGTTGAGCTTCATGGTGAAGTTTAGCTGCTTTCGCAAGCATTTTGGAATGATTTAAATGGCCAGGCTGGGCCAGGCTTCGTGAAGGCCTCGTTTCTGGTGGCGGCAAGCCACAGCAGTTCCAGGCAGGTCACAAAGCAGTGCAGACTCGTCGGCTTGAGGTGTTTTTGGTTCCAGTGTGCTGTAGTTGCTGAAGGTGTGTGTGTAGGTGGCAAGATAGGGCCAAGTGGGGCCAAGAGCCCCCACCGCAACGCACCGCTTCCGCGACGCCTCCGCGACGCCCGTGAAAGCCTTCCAAGGAGCCCCGCTCGAGCGATGTCATGAGGTAGTTGGGTGATACCGCGACGCCCGCGACGCTTCCGCGACGCTTCCGCGACACTGTTTGGGAGTTGGGAGAGGTAGTTGGGGGCGACCGCGACCCACCGCGACGGCACGCGACGCTTCCGCGACGCTTCCGCGACTCCCATGGCAAATAGTCTCACATTCCTTATAATTTTACGGGTTGAGGTCATATTCCTACATTGAGCTGTAGTTCATTGTTGTTTACCACAGAAATCGCCAGATCACCTCTTTGGGCCCGTTTCAGGCCTCTTGTGGCGCCTGGTGTTCCGGATCGACCTGGTTTGGACCTTACAAAACCCTAGCCAGCTGTTTTCCCTTTAAAGTAGTCTTCGGGGCCTCCTCCACCAAGGCTGTTGCAAAGCCGAAGGGCAAAGCGAAGGCTGGGAATGGCAAGGGCAAGTTCAAAGTTTGCCGTGGGTGCCGTCGCAAGATCCCAATCAGCGAGCTGGCCCCAAACTTTTGGGGGGACTGGGCTTGTAAAAGAGCCCTTGACAACATCTACAAGCTGGCAGGCCGGCAAGGTCCGAAGGCTGTTGAATTTGTGAAGGAATGCAGGGCTGATGATGACAAATGTTTCAACATGATTCAGAGCTATTTGGAGGCATGCCCCGAGACGCTGGAGAGTGTGTGCGGCAAGCGCCGAGGCCAGTGGAGTGTGGTGAAGTACCAGGAGAGGGTGGTTGCTGCCGCAGGATTGGTGCGAGACTGCATTGGAGAGATGCAGTGGAAGAAATTGTGGCTTGAGTTTGCAGTTACCGCCAGAGGCGGCAAGTTGACAGATGAGGCCGCTGCTGCCAAGTGGGCAGAATGGGAGAGGCTCAAGGAGGCCAAGGACCCCTCCATCGTCTTTGACCATAAGGGACCTGAGGGAGCACTCAGGTTCTGGGTCCACACGTCCGATCAAATCATCTTCCGGAATGAATACAAGCGCGAGAAGGAGGCGAGTGCGTGCTGTAGTTGAAGTTGAGGATTTTTGGTAGTGAAGGTCGTGTCTTGCGTGTGAAGGTTTTTGAGCACCATATTGTTGAGGCATTGAGATTTTCTGGTTTGTGCCTGCGTTGAAGAAATTCATTGATTTCCTGTGATGCGGCCAGATCATCGCGGAGGGTGAGCAAGTCAAAAAGGGCACTGACGATGACATCAATCGCATGCGCCCGGACCTGCTTCGCAACCACAGCACCGAGGACATGGACTTCTCAGGTGTGGCCTCAGCAATGGTGTCAAACGGCTTCGAGGCGTTTCAAGGTCAGGATGGATTCGTGCTCGACGTGCTGGACTTGAAGGTAGATGGGGAGGGTGAGTCGCAAGCTGAGTCCAAGGGTGATGGCCCAGGCCAGGCGAGCAGTGCTGAGCAGTCCACGCCTGTCAAGCAGAAGATCTGGGTTGAGCGGGACAAGCAGGTCTCAGCAGCCCATCGGATGGCGACAGTGGCCTTGGACAACTTCGTGACAAAATGCGAGCGGCAGCACAAGCGCCAGTCAGATGAGTTCGAGGAGCTCATGGGTGGCTTCAGCGAAGAAGATCGCCCAAAGTTCCTGGGTGAAATCAGGACTTATGAGGTTCGCCTGGAGGCTCTTGGCTTGGTCCTGACCACCAACAATGCTGGCGAGGAAAAGCTGAAGCAGTTCATTGGGCGCTTTGCAAGTGCTCACCATGGTGAGACAGAAGGTGCTGCAGTTGCAGCGCTTGAGCTTGGTCAAGGCCCTCCATGCGAGTCCTACCTCCAGCTACGCCAGTTGAGGGCTTCCTTGGAGGCGTTGATTGAGAAGTACCACACGTGCGCTCAGCCGAAGATGTTGAAGGACTCATTGTGTGTGTGCAAAGCCCAAATCAGCCAGTGCTCCCCGGGTTGAACCAACAAGAACACCCATTTACAGGTTTGCAGTCTGTGTCTCAAAGTGTTGCGCATTTTGCCAGTTTATGTTTGGGTGGGTAGCTGCAGTTGTTTCTTGGCGCTTGCCTGCCAGGTTCAAGGTGCTTGGAGGATGTATTCTCCAGTTGTTGGATGTGAGTTTTGGATCAGCTTCACTCTTGTTCCAATAGGATACTAGCGCATTTGCATTGCCGTATTCTGTCAGGAAGTGTCCATCACAGAGGCGCGGGCACCAATCATGCAGTTGATGGCTGCCGATTGAGGGCGGAGAAATCCATCAAGCGTGCGCAGGATCAGCTGAAGAAAGCTGCAGCGAAGCGTGAGGCCGATGCTAGGAAGCCGAAAGCTACTGGCCAGAAGCCAGGCGAGGAAGGCTTCACTTCTGCCTTGTTCGACCAGGGAGTTGCTGCCGCTGAGAAGATGGTGCGTGTTCAGCTCGCTGAGTCGAAGGCTGGCGCTCTGGAGTTGGACTACTCCAAGCCATTCGTTATCTGCGCCAACGAGTGGGTTGCCGATGCGAGGAAGGATCAGTCGTCCTTCTGCTTGGCAATGAACGAGTTCAAGTCTGCCTTTGACGAGGCTCGCAAGGCTAAGAAGGGGATCCGTGTCTCGAAGCCTGCTGACCCAAGCCTGATGACAAGTTTCGAGTTCAAGGGCTTGCTGTCTGATGCGCTGAAGAAGAGCAAGACTGGTGGCTGCGTTCCAGAGGAATCTATGCCAGAGGAGCTCAAGCCTTTGATGGTTGGGTCATTCTTCGGCATCGATGCTGGGTACGACAGAGTGAGTGGCGAGACTCTTGGCTTGCCAGCTGTGCGCTTGACTCTTGAGGGGACTCGCCAGGTGGTCGTCACAGAGATCCTCCAACTTGTTGGGCTCATGACCGCCAACCAGGTGTCCGGCAAGATGGATGTTGTGCGTTGTTCATCCTTCTTCAAGTGCCTGAGCGCAAGCATGATCTCGGAGTACAAGGCCCAGTGCAACTTGTATGCCAGCACCCTGTCGCCGGGCGAGCCATCTACGTGCCATGTGGATCCTTGTGTGCTGAGCTGGTGTCAGCTTCCACTGTGGGGTTTCGCTGCCCGATCATGGTGCCAATGAAGGTGCACAAGAACTCCTCAGCTAGCATCAAGAAGCGCATAGCTGATTTGGCAACGAAGCAAGAGGAGTCAGGCGAGGAAGAGGGAAAGAAATGTGCCAGCGAGACCGCAGCCTTGAAGAAGTGGCTGGAGATCGCATCAACTGATTGAGGCAAATTTTGACCACCGCTTTTAGTATTGAGTTTGAGTCGCAAAGCTGCGATTGTTCGGCAGTGCTAACTTGTCTGCCCTGTGAATTCCGTGTAGGAGGAAGCTGAGGATGATCGAAGAGTCATTCCATGTCAATTTTTCGCATGTTGCAGCCTCCTTGCTGTTTGCGTTTCAGCAACGATTCCTTGATGCGTCGCTCAGTGCATTGCAGGAAGTGAAAGTTGTTATCTGCTTGCAATCATTGAAAGCTGACCGTGTTGCGTGCTGCGTACAAATCATAGGAGATCTTGTTGACTTCACCTCACACGCCCCAGGTTGAACCAGTGCCGATCAAGTCCAATGTGCTGTTCACTTTGAGGCCTAGCCATGCGGCTTGTGAACGTTCTTGATGTTGCAAACCCTGAACCTCAACCCCTAAACCCTACACCCTAAACCTGAAACTTAAAACCCTACACCCTGCGCCCTACATCCTAAACCCTAGACCCTAAACCCTAGAACTTAAATCCTAAACTCCAAACCCTACACCCTTAAACCCTGAACCCTAAACGTGTGTGAGCTCCTGGATCAGGTGGAATGGCTTTTGAGAGATGGCCGTCTCAGGTTGTCCAGCTGATGCCCGGGTGTGCTTGAACTAGGCATCCTTAAAGTTTATTGCCCCCGTAGCCCAAGATCTGTATGCGTGTTTCGTATGAGTGTGGCATTCAGCGGCAGTGCTGCATCGGTTTCTGGGTACTTTGAAGAACCTGTGTATTTAGAAATCCAGGGTTACAAAATATGATTGGGAGTTAGGGGATTAGGTCCTAGCGCGGGCAATAAAATCAAAAACCTGGAAGCTCTTTGCTGGTTCACCCAGCAATCGCAAAGCATGTTGTCCGCTGCCGCCCTTTCAAAAACGGAGGTTGAGATCTCTGGAGATGGGGGTGTGGGTTGAGAAGCGGGGGTTTGGAGTTTTGAGGTTGAAGGTGGGCGATTTAGGGTTTAGGCTTGCAACTTGAGGGTTTCTGTTGAAGCTCCGGGGTAAGGGTTATTGGGATGCCATGTCTGGGGTTGAGGGTTTCTTGTGGAGTTCAGTGAGTGAGAGTTTGTAATGGTGTTGAGGGTCAAGGGTAAACTGGGCCCCGGGTTATGGATCTGTTACATGCATTATGTCGCAGAACCGGAATATGGGTAGGAAGGCTCCATAGAGTTGGCGTTTGATCCCTGAAGTAGCGCACGCTGAATTTGAAACCTTTTTTCTATACCTAGCTGTTTCTGTTCATAACTCTTTAATGCCTTGGGAGTTTCCAGCTAGAACCCTTGAAAACTTTGTCTGGCATTTTCTGATGCCTTCAACTGAACAAATCCCTTAGCTGTGCTCATTTCAGGTGTAGCTCCCCAGACTATTCAGCCCGAGTTTTACAACCGCGCAAAAATTACTTTTACGGAGTCACCGCTTGGGACTTGTGTCAGAAAGGCTGCGGGTTACTTTCGCAGTCACCGTCCAAAATGCCCAAATACTGGTTGATGGACAAGGGCTTGAAACATTTCTGGCTCAAGATCCCAAATATACCACAGACCATATGAGATCCATCCTGAACCTGCCCAAATCACCTCTGGGTATACAAGCCCTTTGTTCTGTGAAAATGCGTGGTTTTACACAAACGTCAGCGCTTAGCTTACATCAGAAAAATCACGAAGTTCACGGACGCGGAGGACGCTACGCGGGTGCCGGTTATCCACACCGGCGGCGCCAGCAGGCCACTGTACACCAGCCGCGGCTGGGAGCCGACAGCTCCATCGAAGCTGGTTCAGGAAACGAGGTGGTCGCAGTTGAGGAAACTCCTGAGACTCTGTCTCCTGGAGTCGGCTTCGAGCACTGGGCCAGCGACTACATCAAAGCAACCTTCCACATTTTTGATTCCTACACCCAAGGTTCTAAGCCCAAGCCAATGGAGCCCAAGAATGCGGAGCCGATTGTGGTTGCAGATCCTCCCAGCCGAAGATACCGAATGCAATGGCTAAGGCTGGCGCGTATCCTCGACTACGACGACCACAATCACACGGGTCTGCCCGATTGACGGCCCCGGTGCCGGAGCGACGTGAATGAAGATTCAATGAAGATGCCCCCTCTTCCTCCTTGCCTGTTCCTGAACCGCTTCATGGAGCTGAGGAGTCAGCATTGTCTTTGCTTGAAGTCAGGCCGAGCCCCAAAGGCAAAGGATGCAAAGCGTTTGCTCACTTTGGTTGCTAAAGCTCCTTCACCTCGTCCTTGCGTTGAGGATGCCACAGAAGAGGTAGAGCGTGTTTTTTTCTCCACAGGGTGTTTTCGCCGAGGCGGAGTCAGGAACAATACCACCAGGTTTCGTTTGACGACGCCAGTGCTTGTTGACTTCGCAAAAGCGAAGTTGCCAAAGCAGGGCTTTAACACGTTGTCCTTGTTATCCAACACGAGCACTCAACCCAATCGTGATTTCCACAATGCACCGAAAGAAAATTCAGTGATTTCCTGGTGTGCTTTCAGCCAAGGGGGTCTATGGATTCAGGATAGCGATGGTTCAGTGCCATGTCCGACTGATCCATTCCTCCAGAATGGTAAGATTCTTTCCTTCAAAAACGGGGTCATTAGATTTGACGCGAAGGATGTAGTTCACTCTACTCAACCTTGGGTTGGAGATAGGAAAGTCTTGGTTGCGTGTACTGTTTTTGATCCTGAAAAGATTGATGTACGAACAAAACTTGGTTTTGGTTGAAGTTGGTTTTCCACTTGCAGCAGGTTCTCTTGCTTGCGTTTATTCAGGAGTTGAAGCCGAAGGTGCAGCCCCGTCCCCGGATGGATCGGCTGCTCCGGTGCCACCTGACGGGGACGAATCTGGAGTATCTGAGCGAGTAAGGAATCTTCGTGATGAAGCAATGTCAGTCCATCATTGGCTATTCCACTTTCCTACGAACCCCTTCTGTGACGTCTGCAATCAAGCAAAGCTCCTTTCGCAGCGTGTTGGCACAAAGCCACGTGACCCAGAAAGCGAACCAGATCCAATTGAGACAATTTGGAGAAGTTATTGCGATTGACCACATCCATGTTTTCAGATCTCCTGATGACTCCAATGTCAAGTAGTATGTCGTGTTGTGTGTTCGAGATCGGTACACTGGTCTCTTTGCTGCCTCTCCTGCGAAACATAGCTCAACTGATTCGACAGTGTCTTCACTCCGTAGGTTTATGGGAAGAATCAAGAAGGGTTCCATCTAAGCCTGTGTCCCTTGCGTCAGACGCTGCCGATGAGCTTGGAGCAGCAGCAAAGATTGTAGGATGCAGTGGATACCAATTCCATCACTTCCTAATGGCTTTCCTCACAATTCCCAACATGAGCGTGAAATCAGCAGCGTTCGGGGGTGTGAGGTCATCCTTTCTCGAAGCAGACTTTGCCATTCGTCCGGAGTTGTGGCGTGTTGCATACCGTTCTGGCTCCATGGCTTTAAACCTTACCCATTCGGCTCCTGCTGGTGACACTCTGTCTCGTTGGGATTTTTGCAATTGCGCATTTTGGTGCAGATGACATTCCAGTTAAGAAGCTGGTTGTGGGTCAACTTGTCTTTTAGAGAAGCAAGTCTGATGATAAGTTCAGGCCTACTGCTAAACCAGGTTTGTTTGCAGGATGGCATGTTGAACCAGGATTTGCGTATCGCTTGGTGACATACGTCTTCGACCTTGCCAAGGTTAAGCGCAAGTCAGGGGCATGGGATGATCCATTCAGTG